AGGTTGTTCATGCTATCATTCCTTCCACCCAGTGACTAGAACCAAAAATCAGGTGCATATATGTCTTTCATGATACAACATTAATACACAAAACATACATGAAAATAAATTGTAAACATGTGCTGTGGAGCCTGAGTCAGAGAAACACAAGTTTGAAATCTGACTTGATTAGCAGAAAAATCTGTTTAAAAATAAAGAAAAATTGCAGTGTTAGTGATGAAAGCCATATCCTTATATATGCTAGCCAGGCACCATCCCTAGCCTCTGGCTTGAGGAAGCATCTTGATTGAATGCTGGCTTGGGCAAGAATTGAAATCTTCCATTCTCTATTGCTCTACCGCAGGGATTAAATATATTCCTCAATGCTCTTGAAAAGGCTATGTCCCTTTTCTTTGGTGTTCTCATATCTAATGCAACAAAACAAGGCCAATGATTAGCAAGAAAACATTATTTACAAAATTGTCAAGATATAGTTAATCATGGTCCAACTGCCCATATCACAATCATGGAGAATGGTCCAGGAAGAACATGATGCTGAAGTTGGGGACAACAATATAGAGGGTCTCCCAGTGTTGAGATAACCCAATATTCTGGACATTTAGTTGTATTGTCCAAGAGCTAAACTCCACTGTCATTTCCCCCTACAGATATTCCTTATTTATAGAATACCCAAGGATAATGTAGGAAGGCATCCCTGTTTCTAACTTTTCAAATCTTTTGTAATTTCATATTTTTGGGAATATTTCCATACATTGTTTCTTTCATCTTAGTAACAAAGACTTTCTTGGTTTAAAGGACCTCTGTGGTTACGTTTCTTGAAAGATGGGACTACTCTACGTGATATGACTGTACAATCTGTCCTCTCTTTTATCTAGGTTATCTTTAACCCAAACTATAAACTCTTCCTGCATCCCACATTTTTTTACTCTACTATGATATTTGTGCTGCTCCAGTCTGTCCCACTTAGCAACGTTCTACTAATAACTAGTCCTATCATAACTTATTTTTCTTTTTCCCCTTTATTCATACTTATACCCACAATAACTAACATGTCAGAGTAGAGAGAATGGAGTATGCTTTTTTCCCCTAAAATGGTTGGCAATTAAAAAATGTCTAATGACTGCTTTTAAATCAACTGCTACTCTATTTTCATAGAGAGTTTGCTGACTGTTGATAATTATTTTTGCAAACACTGATCAACTACCAGAGAA